GACAGGGTCTTGCTATGCAGTTCAGGCTGGCCTTGAGCTCACTTTGTAGCCCAGGCTGGTCTCGAACTCACCAAGATCCTCCTACCTCAGCCTCCCGAGTACTGGGATCACAGGCACGTGCCATCACGCCTGGCTTTACTGGAGTGTTTAAAATGTATAAATGTGACAAAGAAACTTTTGCTTGTTGATGTGTTCAATACTTAAAGTATTATAAAATCATATAGAAAGTTGTTGATTTAAAATTTTTTTGAGACAGGGTCTCATTATGTAGTCCAGGCTGGCCTTATACTCACTGTGTAGCCCAGGCTAGCCTCAGACTCATGGCAATCCCCCTGCCTCAACCTCCTGAGTGCTGGGATTATAGGCGTGTGCCACCATACCCAGCTGGAAATGGTTGATTTTAAAAATAATTCTTAGTCTTTAATAAATTACTTCTCAGATCATTGAGTTAACTAAAACACTAAAATTCATGAGTTGTTTCTGGTTTTCTTTCTTTCCTTTGAAGGTATCCTTTTTTTTCTTTTTTCCCTCTTTTTTGAGATAAGATCTTACTCTGTTGTCCAGGGTAATGTGGAACTCCTGGGCTCAAAACCCAGCTTCACCCTTTGCATGTGGATATACTACATACAGCCATCACAGCACTATCTGATGAAAGGATTAGTCTTTCTTTCATTGGTATCCTTGTTGAAAATCAGTTTATTTGGCCTGGTGTAGTGGTGGATGGCTGTAATCCCAGCACTCAGGAGGCTGAGGCAGGAGGATCACCGTGAGTTTGAAGCTGCCTGGGCTACATAGTGAGTTCAAGGCCACCCTGAACTATGTAGCAAGATCTTCTCCCCCGGCCAAAAAAAAAAAAGAGAGGAAAGAAAAAAGCCCTCAATCAGTTGATTATAAATAAAGGGTTTATTTCTGGATTTAGAATTTTATTTAATTGACCTATAGGTCTATTTATATACCAGCACCAAATAAGTATCTTTTTTTTCTTTAAAATAAGTATCTTTTTAAAAAATAATTTTTCTTTTCTTTCTTCCTTTTTTTTTTTTCCCGGTACCGGGAATCCAACTCACGACGTCGTGCTTGCCAGGCAGGCGCTGTGCCGCTGAGCTAAACCCCAGCCCCTAAAAAATAATTTTTATTTGAGTTACCTTTTTTGGGATGGGCCTGGGATCAACCCTAAGTCTTTACACGTGCTAAGAGAGCTTTCTACCACCGAGGTTCATCTCCAGCCCCTCCAGATGTATTGATTACTGTAGCTTTATGGAGCTTCGAGTTTAGAAAGCAGGACTTCAGTTGATTTTGCTTTGAAGATAGTTTTGGCCCTTCTAGCTCCCTTGTATTTCCATAAGAATTTTAGAATCAGTTTGTGAAGTTTTACAAAGATAGTAGCTGGAGTTTTAATAGGTATTATGTTGAATGTGTTTATCAGTTTTGGAGCGGAAGATTCATAGTCTTGGGCTTGTCATTTTATTTTCTTTTAAAACTCAGTGATTGGTCCTCTCTGGTTCAAAAGTAGGTTCATTTAACCATTTCACTTTTCCTCTTTGGCTATTAAAATTAACAAGGTCCTTTACATCTGTCTGCATTAGTAATGTTACTTTGCTGGTGTGGTGGCGCACAACTATAATTCCAGCACTTGGGAGACTGAGACAGTCGAGCCTGTCCTGGGCTACATAGTGAGTTCAAGGCCAGCCTGAACTACATGGCTAGATGCTGTCTCAACCCTTCTGGTCCCCAGTAAAAAGTAATGTTACTTTGGAAAAATATTTAAAATTCCATATTGGGATCTGCAGGTTCATTCTGCTCAGCAAACATTTTTAAGGAAACTTCATGAGTAACAACTTCCCTAGTGTGGTGGATTGACAACTGGTTGTCAACTTGTAACACCCAGATGAACTGAGTCAGCATGGTGCTGGGTGTGGAAGACCCACCTGAGGATTGTTGCCAGCAACGTAAGAGGCAGAACTGGAGAGGAAGAAGTTTAGAAGCTGTTGGGAAGCTGTTAGGGAGCTGCTGGTTCCCTTGGCTATTCTGCTGGAGGACCTTGTCATGCTGGCTTTCCTGATGAACTTGGCTGTTCTCATAAGAAGAGGAGCTCAGGACCTCGTTGTCACTGAGAATGGCTTCAGTTCACTTTGGGGAAGCTCTGGTCCTCATTCTGAGCATCACTTCCTGGCTCCAGAGGGGATGATGGTGCACTGATCAGTCTCCTGGAGAAGTTTTTGTGTTGGCTTTCCTGATGGGGACTCGGCTTTCCTCATTGTTGGAGGAGCTCATGACCTCACTGTTGCTGATTGTCGCTATGGTACTTTTCAGGGGAGCTCTGGTTCTTACTTTGAGTGTCACCTCCTGGCTCCAGTGCAGATCGCTCAGCCTGCTGGTGTAGATCCTTCTTCCTACTGGCACAGACTTTCTAGCTTCCACCACTGACCTTTGGGCCTTCCCAGTGCAGATCTGTGAACCAGCCCTGCATGAGATGTTGTTGTGAGCTGTCGGCCTCCAGTTGGACTCACGGAAGGCATTGCTGTGGGCTGTAGGTCTTCAGCTGGACTTATGCAGGACATTACTGTTGGATCCAGGCCCTCAGCTGGATTCTTTGGTCTTTAGTGTGTGGACAGATTTCCTGTACTCTTTGTATGTGATTCGTTGGGTGACTACTAGAAATAATCGTATAAAATATGTGTCCTGTATTATATTGTTCCCCTTGCAAAACTCCAAACTGCAACACCTAGTGAAATTGTTAGTATCATAGTAACATTCGTTACCATGGTAACATTTGTGTGTATGGAGTGTAGTGAGAGAGTACTGGGGTTTGAACGTAGAGCCTTTCCAATGAACTATATCCCTAGCTCATTCTAATCTTTTATTTTGAGACAGAGTCTTGCCAGACTGTTAAATTGCCTAGGCTGGGCTCAAACTTGCTATCTCATACTTCCACCAGAGTGCTGGTACCACAGGCACGTACCACCATGCCCAACTATTAGTAACTCTTTTTATTCATTTATTTATCTGTATATGGCATATACCCCATCAGGATTACTGCTTGTTAAGTGCTAAAATTATTTTTCAAAGCCACTGAACAGCGATTGGGCCTAGTAGATGCATTTGAAGATTAAGGGTTCTTCTGGGAAATTAGTTTCTTTATAGAAACCTTTTTTGGGGTAGAGGAGACAGTGGGGCTGTACTGGAGATTGAACTTAGGCCTCACATTTGCTAAAAGTACGTTCTACCCACTGGATTGTGTACCCCAAGTCCTCTGAAGAGATCTTTTGACCTAATTGCTAGGCCCAAATCCTTTAGGTTACTTTACTCTGATTCATGTGACACCATGTGTGAGCATCAATCACTTGAAATTAATGCATGTACATTTTATTAATAGTTACAGGTAGCATTGAACATATTTTGTAGCATTCTTCCAAATTATTATATCCATTATCTGATTTGACCATCATAGCAATCTCTTTCACAAAGAAGAAATGCAAAGCTTGAATAATTTGCCCAAAACCATAAGAAAATAGTTTGAGAAAATATCCTTTGTAAAAACTATTTCTGCCAGCCTTCGATCTGTTTGGGAGGCTGAAGCAGGAGGATTGCTTTAGCCCAAGGCCTTCATGGATGCCTGGGCAAAACAGTGAGATCTTGTCTGAGGACAAAAAAGAAGGAAGAGAAAAAACAAGCAAGCAAGCTATTTAAGAGTAGATGTGAGGGG